TCTCTCAAGGATCTCATCTGGCCATCGGGTACTGGAAGAGGCGAGGGGGAGAGCGCACCATAGCAGAGAGACGGCAAGAGAAAAGGGAGACTGCGAGACGCGCCACGCCGGCGCCCCGAGACCCAGGAGGAGCCCGCAGGTATTGTTGGCGGCGGAGCTTTGTGTTTTCGGCGGGCTGCTCCGGGCTAGAGGGCTCCCTGAATCCCGGCTTGGGGCCGCGCTCTGACCTGCCGCGGAGCGGGGGTGTTGACGGGTTTCGCCGCGGGCACCCCTCCCACCGCGCCGCGATCCTTGCTGGACTTGCGGGTTTGCGTGTTTGGAGGTTTTTTCATGTGGGTGGAGGGGACCAGTCTCAGGAGAAGGAATTTCTTTTCTTTCCTTCTTTTTTTCTTTCTTCCTTTCCTTTTTTTTTTTTTTTTAATGGCCGCAGCAGTTAGGTTGTGCTGGGGATTCTCCCCTCCCTTTTGCTCCACAATGCCTTGGTGAGCGGTCTCGGCGAGGCGACCGAGCTACCGATGGAAGAATTGGGGCTGAGATGTCGCGGCGGGTGGCCGCAGATGGGGATGCTGGAGAAGGAAGGAGTTCATCTCAAGTTCGCAATCTGTGTCCGGAAGCTGGTCTGGCCTGGGAGGGCATTTCGAGCACCGGTCCTACTGTGAGCAACCAGTGAGAAACTTCCCGAGAGTGCCGTCTCCCGGGGGACAGTTCCCTGGCGCCTCTGGGCGCTACTGCGGCCCCTCCTCTCAGCCTTGGAGCGTTTAAGGTCGCCCCCCCTTCCTTTCCCGACAGCTTCCGGATCTGGTAGACTGATCGGCTTCAAACGCTTCCCCTCCCCGTTCCCTGTAGCGTGCCCTCTGTCCTGCGCCCGCCTGCCAAAACAGCTGAGTGGCCAAGCTGACAATAAATCTCTTGCCTTTGCGGTGAGGGGCAGGGGTCATGACTCAGCCTCTCCTGTGACTGCTGACCCTGAGCCCTAGGCAGGGGAACGGACTCCCTCTTTCTTCCTTGTTTGGGTTGGAGAGGTTACCACTGGATGGTGTGGGGAGGAGGCGAGTAGGGGTGCCCAGCAGGGAGAGTTGGGGTGCGCGCTGGCTGGGTTGTGGATTCTGCCCGCCTGCGCTTGACGATTGGCTGATGTCTTTGGGCACGTAGAAGGGCCGCTCTAACCTCAGCCTCCTCCCCTCCTGTACAATGCAGGCTGAGAGGTGATCCCGGAGGTGATGTGCTTGTATGACGAAGTGCTTGGCTTCCTGAAATCCACAGCAGACACCACTGCTCTGGTGACCCAGAGATCTGATGCCTGCACCTCTCCCTGGAATGGAATGGGGTGAAGGGCTGCTGAAGGGGGAAGGGAATGATAGGAACAGTTCATTTTCCACACTGGTGCCATGGGAAGGGAGGTCTATCCCAGAGAATTCCTGGGGACTGCAGTCCAGAAAGAGGGAGGGAGGGCTGAGCTCCAAGGGGGAACCTCTGGGTCAGAGCCTTGGCACTCCAAGCTGTCAGATCTTCACTTTTGGGTATGGGGCTGGCTGGGCATTG